AAGAAGAGAAACAGAGGAAACGATGGGCCGACCACTTCAAGAAGCTCTTGAATCGACCACCACCTGCACTTCGTCCAGAAATACCACCTGCAGCCGCTGAATTACAAGTGAACATAAATCCCCCAACGAAAATGGAAGTCCTGAACGCCATAAAGCTACTGAAATGCGGGAAAGCAGCAGGACCAGATGGAATACCGCCAGAAGCACTGAGAACAGATGCAGAGACAACAGCGGACATGCTCACACCACTATTGCAGAAGGTGTGGAGGGAAGAGAAGGTACCTGACGATTGGAAGAAGGGTTACCTTGTCAAACTGCCGAAGAAGGGAGACCTCAGTGCTTGCAAGAACTGGCGAGGAATCACTCTCCTATCCACCCCAAGTAAAATATTAAGCCGCATCATCCTGGAGAGGCTTAAAGACGCACTGGATTCAAAACTGCGACCGGAACAGGCAGGCTTCAGGAAGTACAAATCATGTGCTGACCAAATTGCAACGCTTCGTATCATCATAGAACAGAGCGTAGAATGGCAATCAGCTCTATACCTCAACTTCATCGACTTTGAGAAGGCCTTTGACAGCGTCGACCGAGAAGTAATTTGGAAACTGCTTCAATACTACGGAGTACCGCAAACCTTTATCCGCCTCATTCAACAACTATATGAAGATGCCACATGCCAAGTAATCCACAATGGGAAGCTCAGTGATGCCTTTGAAGTGAAGACAGGAGTGAAACAAGGTTGCCTACTATCCCCCATGATATTCCTTATTGTGGTGGACTGGATCATGCAGCAAACAGTAGGCAGCGAGAAGAGGGGGATACACTGGACGACGGAAAAGAACCTAGAAGACTTGGATTTCGCCGATGACTTATGCCTAATGTCACATAAACTTGAAGATCTGCAGGCAAAAACTAACAAGTTGACAGAGGAGGCAGCTAAGACGGGACTTCAGGTGAATATAGAGAAGACAGAAGTGATGAAGATACCGCACCACCACCATCAACAACAACAACAAACTCCAATCACCGTCAACGGTAGAAACTTGAAGGAAGTAACCTCCTTCACTTATCTAGGAAGCACTGTTTCAACTACAGGCGGGACGGACGAGGACGTCAAAGTCAGAATCGGAAAAGCAAGACAGGCATTCATTAGCCTGAAACCAGTGTGGAGATCTTCTGCACTCAGCATGCGGAACAAGATACGGATTTTCAACACCAACGTCAAGTCAGTGCTCTTGTATGGCTCAGAGACTTGGCGCGTCACGAAAGGCATTTCCAATAAACTACAGACATTCATCAACAACTGCTTACGCTCGCTGCTGAAGATCAGATGGCCAGAAAAAATAAGCAACAAGGAACTCTGGGAACGAACCAACCAAGAACCTATCACGCAACAAATATGCAGGAAGAAGTGGAGATGGATTGGGCATACACTGAGAAGGCCGACTGAGGACATCACGCGTCAGGCCCTCGAGTGGAATCCCCATGGGAAGCGACGAGTTGGACGTCCGAGGGTGACATGGAGGAGGTCGTGCGAGGAGGAAATGAGAGCTTCTGGGCTGTCGTGGAACCAGGTTCAAAAGATCTCAGAGAACAGAGGTCACTGGAGGCGTGCTACTGAAGCCCTATGTTCCACTAGGAACCCAAGGGACTAATAATATAATAATGATATGGCGTTCAGGACTTCCATTTTTGTTGGGGATTAATGTTCCACACAGGTTTCTTCATGGATGTTGCTCGATGTCTCCCATTTTGTCTTGATGGCTGCCTTGAAGATCTCCTTTGTAGTTTCATCCTTCAGTTTCCGAGTGTTGTACTTGAGTTGAGGTCTATCACCAGCTTCCTTGAAGGCTTTTAACTTGATTTGGAAGGTTCCTTGCACTAGGTAGTGGTCTGAACCTACATCAGCTCCTCTTCTTGACCTTGTGTTAAGTAGACTGCGTCTCCATTTTCTTGAGATTGAGATAAAGTCGATTTGACTTTTAGTGTGTCCTGGTGTCTGGTGAAATCCATGTCGCTTTGTGGATATCTTTGTGCCTGAACACACTGCCTCCAATCACCAAATCGTTGAATGCACAGAATTCTGCAAACAATTCTCCATTCTCGTTCATCACCTCACCGAGCGCTTCTCGACCCATGGTTAGTCCTCTTCCTGTGTTGTCCCCTCCCAGTTTGGCATTCATGTCACACCACCCATTAGAATTTTGATATCGCCAACTGACGTCTTGTCCAGTGTTGATTGAAGTTGTTTGTAGAATTCCTCCTTCTTCTCTTGCTCTGCATCATTCATCGGTGCATAGCATTGTATGATTGTGACCTTCCTTCCTTCCTTTTGAGTTGAATCTTGCTGTCATGATCCTGATGCTGGAGGAGATTGGTTCCCACTGCATGAGAGCCTGCGATGCTGTTGGGGACATCACGATAGCCACTCCATAACTCATTGTGCTCGTGGTTGTCGTGTCGTCTGGGTGACAATATCGGAGTAGATTATTGATTCTCCAGTTGACAGTTTGGAGAGTCCACTCCCTTTCCATCTGCTTTCGCAAATCCCAAGCACTTCGATGTTATACCTTCTCATCTCATTTGCAATCTGGGCTGCCTTACTGGGTTCAAACATCGTACGGACATTCCATGTCCCCACGTTTACTTTCGCTTTCATCGAGAGAGAGAAGACACATCGGCCAATTGGCTTCCCGAAGGCTTTCACCAACTGGCGTCATTTCGCCTCTCCGATTCCAGCGGGGAATAAGTTTGTTTTCATTTTTTATATTTTGTTTGTGCTTTGAAGTTTCTTTAGTGGTTAGATTTGTTTTACTGGGTAGGGTTGCTAGCCGTATGCCCAACCTTCCCTGTTTACCCGGGCTTAGGACCGGCTAGTAACTAGTAAACTAGTTAACCAGTCGAGGTTGGGCATTATGTAGAAAGTACTATGTAAAATACTATCACAACATAAACGTGATATACAAGCAAGGGGAAAAAGCAAAGTCAACGGAAAAACAAATTCCTGAGGAAATAACCTTAAAAATACAGTTAAATAAGTGTACATTACTTTCGTTTTACTTTTTAACAACAGGAAAAACAGGAAACCAATAGAATGACCACCACTAATTCCGATTGTGAGGCATATTTATTACCGTTTGGAGATGCTGAGTCGTATAATCTTTCATACCCCATTGCCAGAATCATGGTGCACTAGGACAGACTAACTCAACAAACCTATCCATCATCCTACCACATAAAGTTGTGTACTCATTACCCCTCAGCTTCTTTCATCCAGTCACATGATGGGAAAAGGGAATGGATTGATAACATGTGAAACGACATTCACACTACATGTCTTACAAACGTGAGTCAGTATCCGAACACAAATTCACTCAATGAGTGGTCTCTGTCATGTCCAAACACAAATGGTTGCACCTAAGAACTAACTACACGGTGTTCACACTGGGTGTGAATAATGACACTCGTATATGCAGGGTAGCTGGAAGAGGTTATTTCCATAGGTGTAAAACGGAACTACCCATACCGAAGCCTTGTACAGTTTACCTTTTACATCTAGGTGAACGTCTGGAAAGCAATAGAGGTCATTCAGATTGGTGTGTGCCATTATAGTTTCTGACATACATTTGAAGATTTCATCAGGTGCAGAATTACCAGCAAGTATGCAACTGCCAAGATAGACATATTACTCGTTACTTCAAACAGTTCACCAGCAAGAGTCAATAAAGACCAAGGTTGTAGCCAACGTTGTGAAAGCAATGCACAATTTGTTGAGCGAAACAGATGTAACACTTACGCACACTGATTAAGTGTGATTTGCGTAGCCTGTACAGTGTCACACAGTAAAGTGTTGTACATGTACTCAAGGTTGAAAAGTATTTTTTCATAATTTAAAGATCCCCATAAATTATTCAGCTTATTCAAAGTATTTTCTCGGTAGCAGATCCGTATCGACACGAAATTCGACGATGAAACTGCCTCCGCTTTAATCAATATTATGCAGACAAAGGGAAATAACAAGCAAAGAAAGAAAACTAAGTATCATTTACAAAATCAACCTCAACAACTGTGATCAGTACCACATTGGAAAAAGTAGTAGAGATCTTCACCTTGAGCTACTTGAACATCAGTCGGTACGTAAACACTACGCCATTTCGTCGCTCATACCGATGGATGTGGACAACTATGAACATGAGTTTGATTCTGAAAATGTAGAGATCTTGGACAGAAGAAATACAAAGAATACAAGGGAATCCTTAGAAGTTTGGTATTTGGCTCAATCAGCATAGACCTAATCTATCAACCAGTAAGAAGAGCGAGAAGCAACTACGAGGTCGGAGATCAGGCAGATAAAAGACAAACAGAGAAACCTTTGTAGTCAATGGTACAACAACCAAAGGAAACCATCAATCACACACCATTTCTCGTAAAGGCAGACTACCGAATCACTCACTAAGAAATACCGATATTGAACTTATTGATGACGATGTTGTCTGGAAAGACAATGAGAACGCTTCACAATTAAACCATCCAGCCCAGAAAACGCAATACAGCCAAGATCGTCTGAGCTACAAATATTCTCCATCATTTACCGACTTTTGTTGATTTTCTCTTTCTGCATCGTTGTCAAGTATAGAATCGAAACTCATAACCTAATGCATGAGAGTGGTTCCTAATTTACATGCGCTACTGCATACAGTAGAATTAAATTAATGAATAGCAGAAGCACCTTAGTAATGATTCCAGGTGCATGTTGTCCATAAATGTTCAGTCTCTAGAAGAACGGCAACAAAGAGTCCATGAACAAGTGCTCAGAGAAAAACTAAAGTTAGAATCAGGTTTAAAAACAAGGCATATTTTGAGCCAATCGTTCATAGAATGCAGACCAAAAGCTTTTGAAATTAATTTGTTTTCACCTCGAGGTACAAAAGTTTCTGATCACAAAACTAGATAACAATTACAAATAATAATGCAAAATAAACTATTTTATGTTGACAAACCTCAGCCACTCGACGTTGTAACGCAGTTAACTGTGCTTGGACTTGAACACAATCCCGTAGAGCCCGATTACCAGCCCACTGCAACCGATCCAACCGATGTATTTCGTTTCTTGCAGCCAATTCACGTTCTTGTAATGCAACATCATATTCATCCCACAAACGAAGAATTTGTTCAATACGAAGGAATATGTCAACTGGGAGTATTCCACGTTCAATAGACGGCTTTTCGAAAAATAAATAAAGACACCATAAAAATGAGTAGAAGAGAAACTTTTTTCTCTGTAAAGCTTCTTCACATTTAAAACACTAGATAGAATTTCTGATTACAGCTCTTAATAGTGAGTGTTCGAACAGGGATATCCACTAGTCGACTCCTAATACATTCGACTTTTACTGTCTAATAAATATCTTGATCAAAGTACGACTATCATCACATTTTTCCCTAAAATAATTTGATCAAAACAATGTTAAGAACCCAGTTACGTTAAATTTCCAGCTTTAGAATGTTCAATCACAGATAATTTGTTTGAACTATAGAGATTTTGTCATTACCCTACACAAGTTATACAGACTACAAAACAAGTTGTGGTGAAACGGTTTACAATCACACTCAAATAGACGTTATGTATAGAGTTTTTAGATAGATATTGAAAGCTAGTTTTACTTTATTGTTGTCTACTGATGACTAGCAGTGGAATCTAAGATGTGAGTTTCATCCTATTTGGGGCTCGTCAACTGGATGTACCTGCACTGAGACTCGAACCCTAGACCGTTATCCACTAGACCACCGGAGCACGAGAACCAACTTTTGTTCAATAGGTATCGGTTGTTGTTTATGAATAAGTAAATGATAACATGCTAACTGAACAAACAATCATGATGATACAGTAAAACAAGTAACCAAGATAAGCAAAGCGGAGGGTACAAAGTATGGGGTAACTTTATGATAACACATCAAAACCGTGAAACCTGTTACTTAATAAACACCCGTCAATTCAATCCATTAACTCATGACAACATATTTCACTTATATAATGACTAATTGATATACTACTGTAAGTTTTCAATTAAAATAATTGTCAAGTTATTGAAGTTGGTAATAACTTATAAAGAAGTTGAAAATTTGTCACTATTACTATAAAATCAGTAGACTAATCTCAAGGTAGTTTCCATAAATATCCCAAAGAAATAGGTTATTTATTAAGCTTCTATATATGGGTAATTATCATGGTTTGATGCTTAGACAGAAAGACATACTATGTAGCTAACTAATGTTAGGATAACTGGAAAAAGGAAGCTGAGATGTCATTGTGAGCATTTTGGATAATATCGTTGTATTCCATCAATTTGAATGTATGTAGGGTCACACATATATAGGAAGGGAATCATTGGTTCTCCTAAAAGCACCAGAAAATATCTCCAAGCGTATGAAAAAACAAGTTGAATCGTCCGATTCTATTAGTGATGGTATTCGATGTCTAAGGTCCTTAATCGCAAAACATATTATGATTGAGGTGGGTCATAATACCGATGCATGTACATTCATTCACACAAAATTTTCGGGATGCATCCATAAATTTGTCGATGCCTTATCCATTAGGATATTATAAAAGGAATTACTTGTTATGAAGTTTTCTCTAAGAAATTAGTTTTATGCAAGATTTTCGCTAAGAGTAAGACAAGATCACTAAGATGTGATTCAAGGAGAAGGACAATACGCTTCGTAATCATAATAAAAGAATGATCAAAGTGGAGTATACAGCCATTGATAAGATCAATTTGAATCCTAATAAAATGAATCTGAATATTAGTTGACCGTGTACTATAATTCGAGATGTTACTATGATGGGAGAGTGTAGCGTTCCATCCGAAACAAGCATTCCAAGGATTAGTTACCAGCTAATAGCATCAATTAAACTTTCTCTACTCATTGTTTGGATATGTAGTGAGCATAGCTGTAGAGCTGTGAGGAATGAACTCGACTAAGAGGCTGAATAAATAGTTTTGTAAGCAAAAGTGATAGGTCTGGGACTAGTATTCCAAACGGTGAAAAGAAGCAACTGATATGAAGACAAAGAAACAGTATGCACAATGCTTAGTAAAACATTTTTTCCCTACGAAAACAACCTATCTTACCTTTAGTTCTTCATACATACGAACTAGTTGTTGGCGTTCTCTTTCTCTTCTAGGTCGTTCATCGCGTCGATGTCGTCGGATTTCATCCATCACGCGTTCTTGCATAGCTTTTAAATCTGATGGGAAATGACGATTAGCCAAACGGTCAGTTGTTGATCGAAGCCATTGAATTAGATCACTAGCTAGAACCCGATAATCAGACCATAGCGATTTCAATTCATCCGGTAGTTGATTTGAAGCTTGAAATTGGAAAGTTGAATCTACAGGTCCAGGTGTATGAGAGTCATGGTATAAGGAAGGCATAGGGGGTATGATTGCTAACGGATATGATGAGCGATGTTGAGAATTACAAACTAATTTATCATACAGTGAAGCCACATAAGTCATAATTGATCGTTCATCTGTTATCTTTGAAATATCTGAAATGAAATTTTAACAAAAACAAGATTTGAATTATTAGAGCAAAGCGTGATAAAATATTGATTACTTTCAATAAAGGGGTCTCAGTATTTTCAAGGGTACCTCTGTCTGATAGGAAACCTATCGAAGTCAAAAACTACCGAGAGAAATGAAGAGAGAGCAGCTTTTCTTTCAAGCATGAAAGCTGTATGATACAGACTAGGGAATGAAAGGTAACGTGGTAACCATATGCAATTTTATGTACCACGCGTCGGACTAAAGTAGCATTCGGACGAGCGATACAATGACTGAAACCAAGTTTCATTTCTGCAACTTTTGTCTCTCAATTTTCCTTGAAAACAGTTGGAACAAATGTTGGATCCAATATACGTGAATATATTTTGACTATTCTTGTATGTGAGTAAGGTAAACAGTGTAGTATCCCTTTTGTGAAGAAAGCAAACCTCCTTCATCCGAAAATGTTTAGCAACTCCATATTTGATCACTGACATCGTCATGAAGTTGTACATAATCTCCTGGAAACACCATGTAAGTAATAAAGACATCTAGCTACGCATGTTTCGGAATGTTAGAGATCCTTATTCAATAAATAAGGTTATCTTGGGTATGCCAAATGAGTCACTTACATGCTATTCACTCACTGATAGTCTTGACCTACTTAGGGAGGAAGATATATAGTCTACGACATGGTGTTATGAAAACTGAAATAACTGTATGAGCTTAGTATCTTTCAGTTTATCACAACCTCCTGAATTAAATCTAAGGGATTAGACCACTTAACGGTTCAACATACTGTTAAATTTGGCTTAGTTTTGGAGCCAAAACATCCTTACTTCTTCAAATTCCGGATAGGAATAAGTTGGTATTGAAAGCACCACGCATATACTTGATAGGACTGCTTTCTTAAGCATCCCCTAATATATTCATTATCTCTGTTCATTTAATGTCTGCATAATACTGTCATATTCTTCTGTCCCATTTACTTCTCGGTATCCATGTTTAAACGATTATTTTACTTCGTGAATCAAGACTATTCATTAACCATACAATTAGAAAATTAAAAGTGATTCCTACCATCTGGATCGAATAGACGCGTAACTTCAAGTTCACGTTCGGCTAAATCGAATGCCAAATCAAGATTTTCGCGAGCCGATTGACGATCAACTTGACGGAAATCAATTAAATCAGGCCTATAAAAGTTGTACAGTACAAAGAACAAATAATATCAATATTATAAGACTGTTACTAAGACGGTGAGCTAAAGATCAAACCTTCAGTGAAAAAAAGGAGTGAATGTCCTACTATGGTAGTAGGGATAGTATAAATTAAAACTACCGAAGATTACTAGTTGATGTGACTCGCGTAGATTCATTTATGAAAACAATAATAGTCTCTAACAATGTGCGGCTGCGAACAAATTATTTTTTTCGAAAACGATTTAAAGCAGAATGTTACTATTTACTGGGTCGGTAAAATTACTCCACTAATTTTAGTTCAAATAACAAATGTTCAGTAAATTTTTAACAAATTGGAAATTCTATAATGAACACAATGAAATCATTACAATACAAGGATTTCAGTATTTACTAACTATATCTATCAACAAGTATTCCGATACTAAGGATCTCTGCATCCATTTGCACAAGACATCTCATATTTGGCTATAATACATCAAGTTAAACATTTCTCTCTTTTTTTGATGATTTCAGTTGATTGATTGAATACTTTCTTTGAAAAGACATTTCTTATATTCTTGTCCTCAATTTAAGCACGAGGAAACCTTTCCAATATCTGTAGGATTTTAACAGTTGCACAAGCGGAAATATTGCAAAGACGAATAATGTCGGACAATCGTAACAGATTTTACCAGAAGACATCATTGGCAGTCAAACAGTCAACGTACAGACTCTTACAGAAGTACATCGGATCAATTCGCCACACTTCACAGCAGCAAATAGATGAGAAATGGATAGGAAAAGAGTGAAATTCAACTACATGAAAGTGTATGGAAGGAGAGAGAACAAATAAGTAAAGGTTTAATGACAATATCCAAAACTTTAAAGACAACAAAGCGTGTATACATCAGCGTGATCGTAGCTGACACTCAGCTATGTCAACATTGGTTTACATCGTCTTGAGGACCATGATCAATGTAGGCTACACCTCCACACGAATCGTACTATCACTAACCAAACTACATCATAGTGAATCTTTAGACAATATTGAAGCGTCAATGCAGAGGGACGTATGGCCACAGAGACCGATCGATTCGGTCCTACATAATAACCAACAAAGATTAGAAGTACAAATAGATAATACTCGTAACAAGTTTAGTTGTAGTAAAGCTCATTCTCGGTGCATGCACGATACTAATTGCAAACAACAATTGGAACAACGAAATATTTTGAAGTGAAATTTTTTGTAGTACATTTGTAAGCTGACTGAACTGAAACACGGTAGGTGATTGTGACATTTATGAAACTGTTATATTATTTTTCTTTCGATAAAACCATTAGGGCAATTTATTCATCTCAATAAGTTTGGTTCTTCTTACTCTGGAGCAACATTATTACCTCGGATAGTTTAATAATTATCACACTTCATTTTGAGTGTTCATATAAGTGTACTGGGTTAGAAACCTGTGGTCCCTGATCCGAATCCCACCATGGCCCAAATTTCCATTTCAACTTCAATTATCACCCAGTATCAATACTAGTGTGCCAAACCATGGCTATCCCAGATAGTCAAAATGAGAAATTATCATTGCCGCGTAAAATCGTCGCTGCTTAGATGGTTTTTGAAATAACGTTCAAGAGTGTTTGGTTTGTGCATGCATTTGGTAGAATAACACTTACTCTTTAGCATGAAAATATGTATATGTTCAATTCAGTTACCTCCTCAACGTTATCAAGTGAAATTTACAAGAATTATCGTCTCAATTACTTGCAAGAAAACCTTTATATGTTTTCAACATGCGATTACTACCTCAAACGTTTATCATGATATCGCATGCTTTGAGCACATCTGCGTTCAAATGCGATCATGAAAAGTAACACGCTTTGGTGTATCGGATACAGGTATATTAACTTTGACAGTTCAACATTTAAGCATATATTCCAGTTACCATGTTTCATTATCAACGTGTAGGATCTTAGCAGAATCTCGTTTCCATGCTGAGGGCAGAATGCACAACTGCAATACATTCCTTAATTGATGGATACAAATGAAAAAGGTTATGATTGCATTGTTAAGGTTATTTTAACAATCATGGCATGGTCTTTGTCAAATTCAACACCAAATCCAAATTCATCATGGTTTGAAGATACTCTCGCATTGTTGATTTGCATAAATTAGTGCTTAGGTCTATGCACAAGACCAAAAATTGCACATCTATTTAAAGGTCGATGATGCTCTCTACCTAGGCGCCTAAACCACAAAGGGAGGAGCAACTTTTGAAACGGAAAGACAATAACCAAACTTCGTGAACCTTAGCTTCACACTTGAATAAATCAGTGTTTCACGGATTTAAATTCTTTTCTGTCTTAGTTTGAAATATATGCGTATATTTCTTCCTGTATTACATGTATGTATACCAAGTATGTAGGACATTCGGTTGAGGAGTTTAAGTTAAATTTTGTGAATTCATTGAATTCTGCTATGCATAATCATGTAGTTTGCTTTAAACTTCGATAAGAAATAACGAGAGTAGAAGAAAATGGATGAATTTCATTGTCATTAGTATACTATTGGCAAACCCAGACAAATATTTTCCAACGATTAAAAAAAGACGGTTAGATATGTATGGTATAACTGCTGGTCACTTAGGTGAACAAACTTACCTATAACGATGTATCAAAGCAAGAAATCCACGCCCGTCACCCCATGATTCGCTGAAATCTTTTACATAGACACCTGGATAGTTGGACGTGACAGCACGACACCAACTAAGAAGCGTTTGTTTAGCTGCATTGTCCATAGATAGGTCAACACGAATATTCGATTGAATTTTAGTTTGATCCTCAATTAATTCCGCTAACTTGAATGTGATTACATCAAAAGAAGGCGGATACACATATATACGTAGAAAAAGAGATAATAAGCAGTTGTGTAGAAACACAGTCGAAAAAAAATAATTATAAAATAACAATTTTGATAGAACTGACCTTATATACATCATATTTCACACTCACTGAGTGTGGGTACATACAAACTCAGAGTTTCATATGTATACCTCTACCTGAGAATGTACTAACTACAACGACGGAAATGAGTACACGTATACAAGTAAACTTCAGATGGTTTTCAACTACTTCTGTTACAACTACTGTTATCACTTATTCTTTAGTTCATCATGAGAAAAATAAGAGAGTAATGAACAATATTCACTAAAATCTCAGAATTTTCTCATTTGTTCTCTGTTATTAGAAGAGAGAAACAAAAAGGTGTTTAACATAGAAAAAGTACATTTTAATTAACTGAATTGGTAAATCGCATTCTTTTCTGAAGGAAAAGCACCAACACACAGATAGACTAAAACACTTCAGTATTTCACTCACTGTGTATAACATTAAATACTCATAGAACAAAGAGAGGAAAATACAATGTATACATCCAGCTTTTAGACTTTCACATCGAAATCACTAAAAAAAGAGACAGGGAACAAATTTTTCTTCAATAAATTAAGTCAGTAAAACGTAACTATTAACCAAAACGGTTTTCATCACAGTGAACTGATGAAAGTCAAGTAGTACTGAAGATTAGTTTAGACTAATTTTAGGACATGCGCAGTGTAAGCCCTCACAAACCAATGCGCAAATCAGCACAAAATCGGCAGCTTTCATGACGAGGAGAAATATCTTACCAATAAGTCGTTGTGCTGAAATTACGTAGGCAACATTCTTAAACTCTTGTACAAACAGCTATGCTGTCATCGATGGAAGTCATTCTTTTCTCCTAACTTGATTGACGCTCTACGTCACGACCTCCCATTAGAATTTCAGTTTGATGATGGTAACTGGTTTTTATACATTTAGGTAGTTTTTGAAGAGACGACTGATTTTAATGGTACCTTTTACCATGAACTGCAATCGGTTAGAGTACAATGGAAATGCATTGGTTTACGTGTTTCCACTAACTTACTTTCATCTAACCTTTCTACCATAATAATCATAGAGTTTTTCTTTCGCTGACTTTATGCACAACAGTATCTCGACAGTGCGATGATATGAGGTGATTGAAATCTGTACTAGATATTAATACTGTCAAGAAAATTGATTGATAGTCATATTATCAGGACAATAGACTAAAGGTATGGTGGCATTATTGTTTTCAAGTTTTCGGAATCTAAAGACTTCAAACAATTCCATTTCAACCACAGTGGTTAGGCGAAGAAAGTTATTATTTACATTCTATTCATTGAACATCAAAAACCCAATGAATCTGAAATCGTAAACCATATTATTATTGCAGAAAAAATACAACCGTAACAGTGGTCAGAACTCATACAGATATTCTTCATTTCATAAGTTTTACATCTCGAAAAGTTCTCCTATGAACATCAAAAACAATCAGTGCATTTAAAAACTATCCTTCATTTGCATAAAGTATCGAAATTATCCCCATACACACCTTTTAATCGGGGTTTGGCATATACTCACAAACCACACAGCGTTACATATCTCATTTTGTCGTCAAAGTGAATAGTTAGTAGGGATCAGGTGTTGATAAAACAGAGATAATAGTATGAACACGGATGACTTTAAAGGTCACCCTAGCAACTGATGAGATAACCAATTATATTCCTTTATTTTATGGATGAGTACTTTCTCAGGCGAAACACTGAAGCCTGATTAGCCGTTTCAGCAGTTGTTGGGGTAGCCTTTAGAATCCCTTATGAACGTCTCAAAAATGAAATGCAATGAAAATATTCTCAAGTAAACTTCTCACACCTCAATCACCCACTGGATTCAAGCATGTGTGGAAAAGCAATCAGAACTAGATAATCTATAAGTAATTGTTCTACTCAAATGAGAAATCCATCATCAAAAAATACCGCACCAATTAGCCCGTGGGGTTGGAGATGAAATTATACGGTAGAAAAAATAACTAACCATTTTGATTACTGAAAACACACAAAGTGTAGTTTTTAAGTCTACATTTCTTTGAAATGGGTTGATTTTGGCGTCTACGTGCATAATAAATATGTGTAACTAAGCCAAGTAAAGATGTTTCCGTATCAGACCGAGAGCCACACTTATTGTGTAAGGTTTGATGATAACATGGGTTTCACAGACCAAAATAGGCGAACCTAGTTTCAATCCAAGGTTGACTGATTGAAATTCAAATGCTTAACCAAGTGAGCTACAACATAAAATTTGCATGATTTTGTATTATTCTGTTCCACATTCTACTGCAGATAATAATAGTTATGAAAGTAGTATTGGCGATAATCATAATTTTAGTGACAAATAATAGGGTAACTTAGCAATCACATGCACCGTGGCATAAGGCACACTTACTGATATTATCTGACTCTTTAAACCTCGATGGGTGGAGCACAACGTATTGCTTGTAAGTTTAATCTACTGAATTACAACCCCATTGTGTTACCGTACTTTACAGTTACTTAAGTAGCTGATATTTTCGAGGATTCGAGTAGTGAAATGTGCACGCTATTAGCATGTGATGATTTAAAAAACTACAGGTCCCATAACATGCATGACATTAAAAATGAAGATATGTATGTATACGTGAACCTACGTAGAGGCTTCGAATCCAAAGCGTACCAAAACGCTTCCATGTATCAAGAGTTATAGCTACTTACCTAGTAAATATAGTTAGGTTGTTAGTAAATACTTAAATACTTAAGGCAGATGGGTATACTTTGTGTCTGCTTTATTTGATTAAACATCTGTGATCCATTATTGAAGAACACGATAGGTGACTAACCGGCAATTGTCTTTTATAAAAAGTATTAATATTATTAGCTTAACCAATGTGGAAATTGTTTAAAATACAAAAAATCAAAAGAACAGGTGGAATAGATAATTACTGGTAGTATACGACCAATTGTTGAAATGGGTAGTTTATAATCCGGGAGAGCACATTTATGAAGTAAAGCAGAAAATTTCCAAGTAATTCAGGATAAATTAACAACACTAGAATAATCCGCAGTTTGCAGGTGTGTATGAACACACCTGAAACCCAATTGTTAATATATATTTCTCTGGGTGTATGTGTGCCTATACAATAAGGAAATATTTCATTCCTTCAAGTGAAAATCGATTTATTGTTGCACAGCACTCATAATAAAAGTAGCTTACACAAGAACAAGCAAATAGCCAATAGAAATTACTGCCAATATCTGTAACCACTATGATTAATGTAAGCAGTAACAATAACAGCAATAATAAACTACTTATTTCTCCCCTTGTATTCTGGCCTTGGAACAACATCTGAGCCGGTAAAAGTTACAAACTTACACACACATATGAATACATTATGTTGGCTGACTGTACTATAGTGCCTTCGATCCTAGTTCACACACATACACACACCAACTAACCATTTCAGGTATAGATATACTATGTTATAACCTTGGCCTATCTATTAGCCACAAAGAAAATAACTTTTCTGCATACTGTATATCTTAGGTATGACAGTCAACGCCCATGTTTATACTTATTTTATGCATAGAAAAAGCCTACATAAAGGATATCGGCACTCTTTATGCATATAACTACTCAATAAGCAATAGTTCTTCGTTATTCTTAGTGCATCGTCAACACCGGGCAGCCAAAATTAATTGAAAGCACAATACGCTTTGAGAGAAAAACAATAAGACTACTATCAAGTAGTTTAGCTGTTTTTCATAGTGAATGTACTCAGATGCAGTGTTATATATATACGACAGTGTTTCATACATCCGTTAGGACCACATTCTACTATGTGACTTTAGTGAAGAAATGGGATAGCGTAATCTCAGGAGGAGGACTGTTCAGTGATTACGGAGGTCTGAAACTAACGTATATCATTAGTAAGGTAGTAGTGATCACGGACTGATATCATTTGGAGAACTACTGAAAACCTGGGAGCACTGGACAGCTGTTTCGTCCTAGTACAGGACTCCTCAGAGGTACACACCCACGACCACTTCAGGTTTCGGACTCAAGACTTCTAGGTTACATGGCGAACGGGTTAACCATTCAGTCAGTGGCTCGGAGTTCAATGGTCTACAGTTTCCTAATTCTTCCAGTTCGCGATATAGCACAAATTGATGTCAGTCCTCGACGAATACTACATTAAAAACTAAATCGCCATAAACCTCAAACTACGTAGTTCATTAGTATTTGCTTAATAAACAAGTTTTCTGAGGAATTCTTTTTGTGATCCCGCTGTGTTCTTTAAAGATTGTGGCCAAAGGTAATCACTTTGACTGGAATAATTTCCAGTATTCTAGGGTCAACAATCATTCTATGTTAAACAGGAGTAGTGGAACAGAATATCCAGTAACAGATAGGTCTGAATCTTGAGCGAAAGCAGTCCTTATAAGGATACTTAACACAATCACTCCTGATCAGTTCGGTCCTAGTCATGGCGACTGAAGTAATTCTGATTAGTTCCAAATACTGACAGACCTATTTGCTGTGCATAGGACATAAAACAAATAGGCTATTCAATATATTAATGTAAAGACTTTCAGTAGACTGACGATCTGTTAAACGCTATGTGGGAAAATTTGAGAATCTGATATGCATTTCTACACCTGTCAAGTATATGACTATGTTTACTGTGGCTAAAACCACCTTGACAACTAGGACTGGTGTGGCCCAGTGAACTGACTGCTTCGGTTGTTTGTAGAATTGGATGAGCGATGAATAGTTAACTGCCTATGAAACTACCAGGATGATGATGAAAAGAAGGTTTGTAAGCATTTATTAACCTTAAATAAGTTATGAAGATAATAAATTTGAGAAATCAAGACGCAAATAATCAACAGACTAATTATACATAGTTAGAAATAGTAGTTATAACAAT